TAATTGATTCTCAGTCTGCCCGTAAGATCTTTCAAGAGTGCTAAGAAATTCATATTGATTCCATCAAAACTTGATGTTAGCAAAAACCAATAAGGCCCAACAAATATTCCCCATAGATAAGTTGCTCAAATTGCTCATATTCTTAAGTACAGGCATGTTAGTGCCTAAGGGGTTTCCAATTCAGACAGTACTCGGTAAATAAATTCGAGATTCATTCCATGCATGTTGATTGACCATTAATGGTTTTATAAGGTAACAGAACCCTGCGCAAATTTGCTCTTGAAATTCAATGGTGTCTGCATCATACTGGTCAAATTCATTTTGTGTGTGTGTATACCTTCCAAAAGTCAAATATTACTTGAGAAAACAAATAGGCATTAGGAGTAATATTAGGAAGAAGGTTTAGGGGCCATTCTTGAATTGGAGTGAAAAGCTCTTGGATTTAGAGAGAGAAGTTCCAATTATCTATCCATAGCACAGGGCCATGCCTTTAAATAATTGGGAGAGTGGGAGGGCATTGATAAGATTGATCAATCGTAATTCTTTATGAAGAGAGATAATTGTTAACTTGCTTGTTGACTATCCATTGCAAGGGCCAGATATGTTAATCATTGCAGGCCCTGAATTTATTGATTTTTTTGGAGGTAAGGTAATCCCCTTTTGCTGTTCACAAAAAGGTGAAAGATCCGATGAAGTTGACTTGTGGAAGGTGTCTAATTGAATAACATTGGAAATAAATTAGGGTCTTGTAGGGGCTATGATAACTGCAGTTTTATTACTGCAAGTCATTGGAAGTTCAAGATCTGGAAAGCATTGTGATTTTAAGATCTGTAACTGCGTCATTAGGTTTTTACCTGGCTTGTTTAGTCTGAATTTCTTAATGCCTGCCATAGCTTTGGGCTGAATAGCATTTCCAAAGATTCCTCTCAATGCCTGGCAGTTTGCTTCTCTGAAAGTACTAAATTTGGCAACCATGGGTCATGATTTTGTGTGTGTGTGTGTGTGTGTGTGTGTGTGTGTGTGTGTGTGTGTGTGTGTGTGCGTGCATGGGGGCACGTGTGGGTATATGGGGGGGGTGACTTCTATGATTACAATTAAACAGCACAAAGACAATATAGAAAACGAGAACATATATTTTGGTCCTCTTTAGCAAAAGTCAGAGAATTCTTCCCATTCAGTTAATTTTACTGTCGTGCTTATGCCATATGAGTGAGGGCGTGTGTGCAGGCGTATATATACGAGGGAATCTGTTTGCAATCGGCATGCATTTACCTGCACAATTTGAACATTTGCTTTTTTAAAAGACCTGGCTGGCATTTAAGTAAATGGATGAATAATTTGAGAAACACGATTATGTGAAGTGATATTAGCCAATTGCGTGTATAGAACTCGAGGTAGAATCAACATGCTTAATTTCCCATAGAGCGGAGCGTGCTTATTTAAAGAATGTTTCGGGGTTTTTATTAAAAAGACAAAAATCTGAAATTGCAATATTTTAGCATTATGGATATTTCAATTCCGAGTACTTGTGCATCTTATATCTTATTCAAAATTCAGAAATACCTCAGAATTTTACATGTTTAAAATATTTTTTTAACTTGACATAAGCCATTTTGTGTTGATTTTGTAAAAAACTATATTGCATAATGATGCTTTTGAGTAAGAGCAGAATTATTATATATACTGTAGAAATATCTCAGCATTACCCTGAAACATAGTATCAGTTGAAGATCTTTGACAAAAATTTGATACCTTTCAGGCTAATGGAATATCCTGTGATATTGTGATCTCCACCGAACGAATCACACATGCAAATGTGCATGCACAAAGTACACCTCTGTCTGAGATTGGATAAGGTTATTTTCATTTTGTGTTCAACCCAAGGCGAACAGGGATTATGAAATTGTACAGTTTAGGTGTTGAAAGGGGGTTGGGGGGGGAGGGGGGCATTCCCTGTTACGGTAATGTATTCTGCCTTTTTGATGGGGAAAAATTCTCCAACTTTCAGATACATATACTGTAATTATGTTTCTGTAAAGCACTTGTGGTTCTTTTACTTCATTGAATAGAACTGTGATGAGATGATCATGTAATGACTTCATACTGTTGTGCAACCAACTATAATTTGACCAAAATTGCAAAGGAAAAAACCAGAAAAATAGTAGTTGATAAATTCTGTCAGCTTTTATTCGTTGCCACATCCCACTCATGCCATAATTTCAAGCCCTCGATTCGGGTAGAGAGTAACCACGTTATCCAACAACTATTTCAAAGAAATATATACGTGAACATTATTTGCGAACACAGACATAGTTAAGAGGAGGTTCATTAGTTTTCAAACAAACTCTGTTAATGACACAAATAAACCAGGGGTCTTGATGTAGCGTAAATAGTTCAGCCCCGTTAATTAGTAGTAAAGTGATACTAGTAGTATTGGCACAAGCCCAATGAAAAAATAATAATAAGATGAAAAAGCTGACTACGTGAATGGCACTAATAAACCAGGGATCTTGATGTAGTGTAAATAATTCAGCCCGGATAATTATTAATAGAATGATACCAGTTGAATTGGCACAAGCCCAATGAAAAAGTAAAAATAGAATGAAATGAAATAGAATCTAAATGAAATAGAAAAAAGACAGAAAAAATTATTGATAAAAATACTGTATATACCATGAACTTGTACATAAACCAAGGGCACTAACTTCCATATTTGTTTTTAGTAGCCAGACTTGATTTTGATACAGAATCTTTATATATAAGTTATTTGTTTATGTTTTAGCCTGACTCTGACAATGATTAAATATATTTAGCATATATTTTGTTTTGTTTATAGATACCCTGTTATTAGGAATAATCATACCCCTGGTGAAGAGAATGAATGAGCTAGTGTTTTAAAAGAAATTAATTGGATGAATTAGTGAAAAATTTCAGCATTTATAAACAATAATGATGGATAGATGAATGAATAAATTTAAAAAAATAAATGAAGAAAGAAAGAAAAGTAGATATACAAGTGAAAATATTGGGCCAAACAATGCTAGAAACATGACAGTTGCTGACTCACTGTCATAGATAAATTTTTTAAGATGCTTCTTTACCAACCTGACGTCACTCGTACTGCCCCAGCTGCAGTTTATTGCTAAACCCATTTGTTGGTTAAATTAATTCCTGTTTAATGGATCACGAAAATCCAAGACGCATTCAGACTTAAGACATATCTGAATTGGTTTAGGGATAAATGTCACTAGGTGGCCTATATAAGGTCAGCCATTGAAACAGTGTACTTGAATAAGTTTTTTTTTTTTTTTTTTTTTTTTTTTTTTTAAATCTTAAACATGTTCAGTTGGCAGAGTGTTTTTTTTATCAGACCTATGCATGGGTTTGAGATTAACAAAACCTACTAAATGATAAGGAGTATTATAATTAGAATAGTTATTTTTTGTCATTATTTTGATCCAAGACAGGTTGGATTGATTTCAGTATTTGATAGGGCTCCAGATGCACCACTGGTAAACAGACTAATTAAGACAGCTGGTGCTGAAATCAATAATTACCAGTTGCAAAAATTGCCATTGTTTACGCACCTACACCTCAATGCAATATCAGAAAACAGACACCTCAGGGAAAGTGATATTGAAATCGATACAATGGAAAAACACACGTTTTTTATTTTCATTTCTCCCTCTGCCACCTGTTCCCTACTGCAGAACAATGGTTTAGATAACCGTTTATGTTAGGTAATAGAACAGATTTATGTATATATAGAGAGTACATTCATAACAGATGGTCCGCGGACAAAATATTGCTGACCCCACTAAAAAGCAAGCCGCTCTAATCCCCTGATGGTCTCCCAGCCTCCACACACGCATGCACACACATGCACACACACACACATGCACGCACACACACACACACACACACACACACCATTAAACAGATAAAATCTCGGCTCCAAGTTTGAATTGCTAAGCCTTGCAGCAAAAGCGCGCTTGGAGGTAGACCATTTTTAGCGTGCAGATCTGTTAGCTCGTGGATCAACTTGTTCTGAGTGAGTTCACGGACTGCCTGGGCTCATGCTGATGGTGTGCCATTTCACCATTGGCTAAATTAAAATGACTACTTTTGCCAATGTGGCAAAAGCTTGAAATTTCTCCAAAAATACTGGAAACGAAGTACTGGTCTGACTGGTCATGAACACTTGAAAAACCAGATGCCAGTGAGAGGATCAGCACAATTTTCATATTGCTGGTCATCTGGACAGGCAAAGTTTATGTGAAAATACAATATATTTAAATGAATCATATGTAAGCATAGACTCACAGAAATTCAAACCAGAATTTAAATTCGTTAATCAGGTTGTTGTTTTGTTTTGAATGAGGAAATCGTCACTTTTGTGCTCTCTGCACAAATACACGATATTTCTTTTGCTATACATATGTAATGAGGATGTGCCTGGGAGAAAAGTTCTAATAGAGAAAAACACTGTTATTGTTCTATTATGCAGTTCCCAACCTATTCATTTATACTAATGAATACATGGGTTTTGATAAGGAGATTATACTTGTTGATTCATTTGGTTGTTTATCTTATCAAGGCTACTGGCCTAGATGATTGAGTAGAGTGGAATGAGTGAAAATCGTTTTGGGGTTTTTGTTTTCTTCAGGCTGCTTTATGTTTTTATATACGTATTAAAAAAGGGTATTATTTAATGTAGGAAGAATATATATGTATTATGTGCCATTAGGCAAAGTGTTACTTGATATATTATCAATCTTGATTGAGTTAATAAAATATATTTTCTTTTAATGTTGAATACATTCATTGGAGTTGTATCTCAATTTACAGAATATGTTAATATACATATAAGCTTTTAAACAATAACTTGATTTTCTTATTTAATCTTTTGACGACTGACATTTTTTCCACCAAATGAATCTGTTATCAGATGTCACTGTCCAAGAGAAACTTATTTCCTTTTTTTCTCTTTTTCATGGCAGATATATTCCGCGCTGCGGCTGAGGCGGGTCCTCACGACATTCTCAAACTGTACAACACCAAAGGCAACCTAATTAATATCTCCTCAAAGCTTGAACAGAATACTCCCGAATCCCGCTACAAGTTGGATGTGGTTGCCGCCCAATGTACGGGTAAGCATGCAGATGTTTCAATTGTGTTGTCACGTCCGGGATTGTGTTAGCTGTGGCAAAGATCTTGATAGATTTCTGATTGCTTTACTTAAAATTAGAGTTGTTTGAGAATTATTCAAGATAAGAAAAATTAGTTGGAGACTAGAAAATGTGCGTGATTACGAAAGGGGTGGAGTCTTATTTTACAAAAAGTGACAGGACTTTGGGTATCTCAGAGGATTTTGACTTGTCTTATTCTGTTAGGTGGTTTTAATTGTGTCAGGTGTGACTTATTGTGCTAGATGATTTTTGATTGTGGTAGGTGTGACTTAATGTGCTGGATGATTTTTGTTGTGTCATGTGTGACTCAGGTGTGATTTATTGTACGAGATGGTTTTTGATTGTGATAGGTGTGACTTATTGTGCCAAATGGTTTTGATTGTGTCAGGTGTGACTTATTGTGCTAGATGGTTTTTGATTGTGATAGGTGTGACTTATTGTGCTTGATGGTTTTTGATTGTGATAGGTGTGACTTATTGTGCCAGATGGTTTTTGATTGTGATAGGTGTGACTTATTGTGCTAGATGGTTTTTGATTGTGATAGGTGTGACTTGTTGTGCTAAATGGTTTTGATTGTGTCAGGTGTGACTTATTGTGCTAGATGGTTTTTTGATTGTGTCAGGTGTGACTTATTGTGCTAGATGGTTTTGATTGTGATAGGTGTGACTTATTGTGCTAGATGGTTTTGATTGTGTCAGGTGTGACTTATTGTGCTAGATGGTTTTGATTGTGATAGGTGTGACTGATATAGCTTTAGATGATTTTTGATTGCAACAGATGTTGCTGCATTTCCTGTTTTTTTTTTATACATTGGACAAACTCAAGTTGTTGCTTTCTGTTTTTATTTTAAGACTAAAATTGTGTGTAATATTTGTTTAAGTTAAACGTGTCAGTATACACATTTTTACCACTTTACACTAAAAATTGATTCAGAATTATTATTATTATTATTATTATTATTATTATTTGGCATTGTACACTAGAGTATATTAGTATCATTGTACCACCAGCGTTAGCGCTGGCGGTACACATGGTTTCGGTCCCGTCCGGATCGTTCCGCCGGCTCTGCCGGCTCCGTTGGCTCCGCCGGCTCCGCCGGCTCCGCCGGACGGCTACCGTTACCGCTTCTCCTCCTAGACGGTAAGGNTTGATTGCATTTTTACAGCTTGTCAAGCACAAAACTGGTGGCTGTGTCCCTTATTTTGTGTATGTGGGGGTCTATACGAATGCGTTTGCTCCAGCTGGTGGTACAATATTTGGAGGCGGTATCGCCTCTCTGATCCTCTAGTTCATTCTTGAAGCCATTAATTATTTTTTGAAAAATTTGAAATATGGCAGTCTGTACAAAAAAGGAAGGAAAGAAGAATAAAAAATGAATGACATCATAACTCAGGTTTACTTACTCAGATAATGTTCCTTCTCAACCTAATACTTCTACACATACAGTGTATAAATTATTTATAGACTTCGTTATCGCCACTGACCAGGTAATAAAGACATGATTGGCTTAATCACAATATTGCCTCTATGAGTGTATGGCATATTCACACCTGCTGTAGCTTTTTACTACAATATCAAAATACGAAGGAATCTGTTAGAATGAGATTTAGATTTTTATATTTTAAGCTGTTATTACAGTCCTGCCTATGAAATTTGTAGTTTTGAGAACAATGAAAACAATTTTGAACTGATAAGTCGGTAATAAAATGAAATAAACATTCAAGGACATTGCTGCGTCTTGCAACCAATAAATTCCAAACCATAAACAATTTTCAACTGAGCAGCATATTGTCTTTCCTGTGAATACTGTTGTCACTGCTGGTGACTGTAAACTATTCTAGCAGTCCTAGTAGTATTCCTGTAATAATCTTTAATAAGAACAAGCTTCTTATGTTACAGATTCCTCCATAGCAGAACAGCTTGGCTTTAACATTCACAATGTGGAATCCAGGTAAGATTGGCAGCCTTTCATAGAGACCATTCCCATAGATATTTTGATCGATCTATCCCCCTGGAGAGTCTCACTAGATAGCTGTCAGCTTAACCGGCTTAAATGTCTGTCCCGCCTACTAAAAACTTTTGTGCGCAATTAACTTTTGTGCGCACTCGGCTGTTTTGAACCCGGAGGAGTAAGGGAATAAGGTCGATCCAGATGGATCGATCTAAATCTGTGGGAACCCAGTCATAGTCTGGTCTCATGGGAGAGAAGGGGATGGGTGGGTGGGTGTGTGGGTGGGGAGGGGGTGTAAAGGAACCATCTTGTGGCACTCAGAATTCTACTTGTACGAAACAAATTTTTTAACCTATGAGATGGTCTAAAGATACGCACTTTGATATGAAGCAGCTGCTAAAAAACCTTATACCGTAATGACTTGATCTTTTCAATGGGCAAAAATCATCAAACTTTCACTCCCATTAAATGGATTTAATCAGAGATTCAATTGCTAGACCCTGCAGGAACTGCACATGTGGAGGCAGGGAGACCATCAGCGGATTAGTCGGCTCTGCTTCCATGTGGGTCGGCCATATTTGATATCCTGATTTGTTAGTCAACAGATCAGTTTGTTTCTGAATGCCCTCACACATCTCAGTAGGGTAACAGCAAGTATGACATAACCGGGTCACACAGCTTTATGTCACTCTCCAGTGGGTTTCAATGATTGAAATAGACTCCCAAGTCACTCAGCATTCAGTAGCATCACATGGTGTAATTTTTTGAGGGAATGTTCGGAGAGTTAACTGCGACCAAAGCAGCGAATAGCCAAGGTTTGTGGTAGAAACAGCAATTTTATGATTGCAAATAGGTTGCAGTCTAGGGTAATTTGAATAGAATTTTCACAAAAAATAATGATAATAATAGTAATAGGAAAATGAAATAATAATAATAATGAAAAATAATGGAATAATAATATTTATAATTATAGTAATAATGAATTCTTAACGTAAACTGGACAAAAAAAAAAAAATTATCCATGCCAGATATAGTGGTTCCTTGTCTCACACTGGACAGGAGACACATATTATTATATATATATCAGTTTACTGTCTGATGAAGATACATTTTTGGTGGAATCCGGTGCCCTGTCTTTTCTAAATATATCGGTCACCACTGCCTTAAAATATAAATGGACTGTTTTACAGATGCCTGCAAGTTCTGGCTTTTGTTTGTTTAAGTTTGTTTCCAATATATAGCCCACTTAGACTGTGTTCCCATAAACCTATCATACAAGCAGGATCCATCTAACTCCGAGGGGATTCTCGCTAAGTTGATTTCAGTTTAAGCGACTAAAATATCTGTCACGCCCACTGAAACTGCAAGGGGCCTGGGGGTAATTAACTTTCGTGCACGTTTTAACTAAATGCATTTTAGTGAGAAATCCCTGGGAGGTAGATCGATCCTGCTAGTATGATAGGGTATGGGAATGGTCCCTAGACAATCAACACTGCAGGGGGAGTGCTAAAACAAAGAATGGCCAGAGCATATCCCCCATGTTTACAATTTCCAAGACATATAGACAGTTTGTAACTTCAAAGAAAGGATATAAGTTCGAAGCACTGGGAAATTGTCAAAGGCGAAAGTCAGATTTATTCGTAGGTCTTAGCAACCATCAAAATTATTTTGAGTTGTAAACTGACTGAAACTTTTCATTATTTGTTTGTTGTTAACACCACAAAATTTCAACTTTAGAGTAACACACGCTCACCTGCGCGAGTAAGTTTGAGTTGCTTTTGTATCGTTTTATTTTTATGCTGTGGGATTTCAAAACAGCATAGAAACCATGCAATGTTATGGCAGCTCTGTAAGTGTTAAGATTTTAGATAAGCGCCCACAGATTGCAAATCTTACTAAAGCTGTAAATCCTGCAAGATTGTTGTATTGCCATTTTATGTTTGATTTGTCTCAATCCTACTCCAGTTATAATTGCAGGTTGTAGTTCGTAGTACAGTTCTTGATATCGAAAATGAGTTGACACAGACAGGAAAAAGAGAGAAACATAGAAAAGAAAAAAGAAGAGGAAATTGAAAACCAAAGGATGGAAGAGTGTATAAGTTGAAAAAGAAATAAGAAAGAATAAGAATGAATAAAGAAATAAAAAAAGAGAAAAGGGAATAAAAACAAGCAATATGTCCATTGTTTGGTTTTGAATACACACTATCAGTTCTGTAATAGAGAAAGGAGGAAGGAGGAGGAGGAAGAAACTAGAAAAGCTGTCAGAGAGCGCAGACCTCCGCCAAGACAGCAAAGTCTCCATCCAATGCCGTTTCACCCCTAAATTTTTGATATTTTTGATTATTGATTATTGATTGATTATTAATCCAGATCATCACCAAAAACTAATCATCTCTTCCTTGGCCCACTTCTGACATTCCCTATAAAGATTTAATCAAAATCGGTCCATAACTTTTTGAGTTATGTTGATGACAGACAGACAAACAGACAAACAGGGGTGAAAACATAACCACCTTGGTGCCTTGGTGGAGGTAATAAAAAAATGGGAACTTGTGCACTTTTTCAGTGTTGAAAAGATTTGAAAGTTGGTTTACCCTGTTGTGAGAATGTAAGAGTGAAGGAGTAGATGGAACAGAAAAGATAAAAGAAGGACTTATTGAAGGAAGGCCAAAAACACATATTGATGGATTAGTGAATTTACAGATTAGTTGAAAAGAAGAAATAGACATGATAAAATCTCACAGAAAAACATTAACAAACATACCTGCTGCACACTCATGCATATTTGCACGTACATATTGACTCGTACGTGAACAGTGCGTTAAAGCCCTGAGACCGAACATTTATTTATAGGGCACAAGGCCAATGACATTGTTACCTAAAAAGTCGACAGAGAAGAAAGACATGTCATAAGTCATCCCATTATTTTTCCATTACACAGAGATCTAAGGAAATGTGAGGCATTTTTCTCATCTTTTGTAATGTTTTTCGGGAAGAGTAAGCAAATCAGACAATGTGACAGAAAATTTCCATCCGCGAAAATCACTCTTTAATTAGGAAAATTGCTATCTTTAATCTTATCTTTGACCAAATAAAGATTGATGTTACATTTGGTTTCTCATGGTTACAGGTTAGAGGTTGAAAATGATGGACATTTGATACTCTAAATTATTGCCAACTCTTGGATAGAAATGCCACCATCTTCATGAATTAACCTAGAACATGATAGGAGATAATAGCATAATCATAGTATCAGTTTCGCTCTTTTGGGGAAATTTTCTAATTTTTGGCAAAAAAATTGTTACGTATTGTGACAATTTGCTGGATGTTACATGAAATTCGATCAGTCGTGCATTTAAAAACAGACAGAAGGAAGGTTTAAATTTACGCAGAATTGATGTTAGGTGATAAAGTAATTTTTTCTCAACATCCTCTTGTTTCAGTTTTTGTGTATGTTTTGAAAGTGTTGCATAGAAACTTATCACTCCAGTCTGATGTATAGATTTACCTGGACAAGTCAAGGTCTAAACGTCATTGACACCCGAGTGAAATATTTGTACCAGAGATTTAACAGCGTGAGCTCCAAGAATTACTTATAACCTGTCTCTGCATAGCTGCGCTCCACTAGATCAACCACTGCTTACTTGTGTCCTAAATATTTGTCACTGAATTCAAACAAAAAAAAAAAAAAATTAAATTGATTTCCAAAAGACTACAAGAATATTATAAGATACTTCTGAAGAACAAATTAAGTATATTTTGTGAAGAACTAAAAGTTATACACATTGAGAAAAAAATCATTCACATGTTGTCATGCTCACCACATTTCAGGGTCAGATCAAGACTGAAAATATTTCTTATAAAACTGAGTATTGTCACCCAGACATATTCACATGTGAATTGACAGAAAAAGAAACTATGTACAATTATGCAAAAAAAAAAAAAAAAAAAAAAAAAAGACGGAAATATCTTTTGCAAGATAGAAATATCGTCATTTTGACAGTAGATGATTAAATTATAACTGACACTAGCGCCAGATCAGCTATATTGATGTCGAAATTTTCCAAGTATTCTAGATTTATGAAAGCTCTAAAGGGAAAAGTTGTCACGTTCTGCTTGTAATGGGAGTGAGCCAAAAGTGCATTAACTAATAAAATGTCACTTAATGGTAATCTACTGTCATGTTTTTGTGGCGAGAATGCTTTTAGTAAAACAGCAAAAAAAATTTTTCTTAGTGCACTTTGAAGGCCCAGTGCTTTAAGATGAAAAAAGGTCAAGACTGAATACAATTTAAAAGTACCTGGTCAATTTCCCTTTTGCATTTAATATGAGATCCTAATCCTCCCTTGTTACCTTCAAATGCTACAGGCGTGTTCAGACAGAGAAAAACTAACAGTCCAGGTCTATTATCTAGTCACAAAAAGACCAAAATACTTGTGAAAGGGTTCTAAATGTATATACAAAAAGACCAAAATACCTGTGATTTGGGTATAAATGAAGTCACAAAATGGATCTAAATGTAGTCACGAAAAGGCTTGTGAATTCTGTAATGACTTCAGTATGCAGTGAGTTCTTAAGGTATAGATAAAGTACGAGGCGCTGAGCTTTACGCGAAATAGAGCAGATAATTGGCGAGGCGAAGCCGAGACAATTATCTGCTCTATTTCGGGTAAAGCTCAGCGCCGAGTGCTTACCTGGCTTAAAGTGAGTAATTAACCCTGTGCATTGGTGCGTGGAACGCATTCGTGGATGACGTGACTTTACACGAAATAAAGCACAGCGCGACCTATTGTCTTTTGACAGGAGAGTGCTTTAAGTCATTTTGAAGGCCAATGGGCAAACTACAGAAACATCCACAATGATGTCTTACGGACCATTCCCAGGCCCTGTTATACTAACTGTGGATTGATCTATCTCTGCAGGGATTCCCGCTAAATTGCAATCAATCTGAGCAGCTTAGATGTGCAATTATAGTTATCATTATGGACTTATAATTATTGGCTTATTATTATCATTTAGCAGCTTCAGTAGGTGGCTAGACATCTAAGCCGCTTAAGCTGAAAGCAGTTTAGTGAGAAACCCCTCAAAGATGGATCGATCCTGTTAGATCAATCTGTGTATGGGAACCCAGTCTTAATAAAGGAACCGCCTACAGACCAAGTATGCCAAGAAAATGTTATAAGCTTTACTTTGTATTTTTTGCAGACTTCAGAATTTGGAAAAGAAAATACTGGTGGACAAAGGAGACACCCCTTCCCTTGTATATGATATTAGGCACAAAGTGGAAGAATTTAGGGAAAGATTAGAGGTAAGTTGTAAGAAATAGTTCCAAGATGCCTGAGTGTCCCATGGCACGATTTTGGCAGAAATAAGAGCTATAGTGCAAGAAATAACTCCCAAGATGGCAGAAAAGCCCATAGAACAGTTTTGATGACAGGAATGTTGCAAGAAATAACTCCCAAGATGGCAGACAGGTCTGTTTTATTAAATTGTTTCATAACTAAAGTAGGGAAGTTATCATGTTGCCTCTGTTTTAAAAATGATTATCATGGAAAAGTAGATGGATTGCTGGAAAATGTTTCACCATTTTTGAGGTATTCATTCCTCATGTTGAATACCAGGCCTGTAGCCGGGGTGGGTGGGTGGGTCGAAAGAACCACCCTTTTTGCTGGGAAAAAGTCCACTCTGGATACAATTTGATCTATGTACTTGAGGATTTTATGGTAAAAGGTCCACTTTTTCAGAAAACGACCCCCCACCCCACCCCACCCTGTGAAATTGCTGGCTATGGGCCTGAATACACTGTTGGTACAAAGGATGGCCTTGAACATGTAGATCAGTTGTGTGTTCAGTTGATCGCCCAGTTACGGGTTTAAACACAAATCTTTTTTGTTTGGAATAGAGCAGTACTCAGCAAGTGAGAGGTTACATGGATTGCTTTGAAAATCACTTCTGACAGCGCAGAAAAAAAGCTATTAGTAACTGCACTTTACATTTGACCAAAACATGATATTTATATGTCTCAAAAATAATTTTGACAGAACTGGAAAAAATAAGGAGAGTGTGAAGTTAGCAAAGATGAATTTGTTTTAAGTTAAATTTTTTATGTGTGTGTGTGTGTGTGTGTATGTGTGTGTGTGTGTGTGTGTGTGTGTGTGTGTGTGTGTGTGTGTGTAAGAGAGAGAGAGAGAGAAGATTTAAGATAAAACAAAGTGTTCATAATTTTGAAGTAATCACCGTAGTTCCCCTGTGAGTAAGGAGTCTAATGCCATTATGGAGAAAGTGTCTCTTAAAAAGAGCACAACCCTAACTAAATTAGGGCTGTGAAAAGCTGCACTTGAAATGCCTGACAATCTACAAACGTAAACAAAAGGAGTTCACAATTGTACTGTTAACAGGAGCTCCAACTTGCGAATATCACTCGTGACTGAACTATAAAGCAGGAATACCAAGAGATTTCCAGGAAAAAAAGAGGATGAATTATGCCAAATTGAATTAGAAAAGCTCATCTTGCTAATTGAGCAATGATTCAAAAGGGATGTGATTTTCATGACGAGTAGCTATGTTGGGCGGGTGATATATAACTGGGTTCCCAAAGTCTGTATATACGGTAATAACACCATCTTTTCAATGGGGTGAAAATTGTGAATTTCATAGATACTGTATTTTTAAAAGTAATAGATTCTTAGAATTAGAACATTCCTATTGAGTGATAGCAACAAAATTTTAAAAAAGCATGCTGCTGTATGGTTTTATTCTATGAGGTAAAAGCACCACAACTGCTACATAGAAATATAATTTTGTGATCATAAAATTATGTATCGGAAGGTTTGAAAGTTTTTGCCCATTGCAAAGACGGAGTAATTAATGTAATAGTGCAAATAACTGATGATGAAAACACCTTGTTTATCTCACACCATGGTGCGATCTGCACCATAAGTGTTTGTTTAACAATTACAGATTTATTGCTTAAGGCTGTGAATTTGTGTTATTGGATTTTTTAAAATGTGTTTCTAGATATTATAGATAAAAACACCTCTGGTTTCTAACACCACATAGGGATCTGCCAAACGGGGGTTTGTTTCACAGAGGTGGCAATTTCTGAACCATTGCTTTTATCCATGTTATTAGATTATTTTATCCGATTTCATTCATTCATTCATTCAAAATATCTCTATGCCAGTCTGAAAAATAGTTGTAATCCAAATAATTGTAGTTTCTACTTTATTGAGAAGGTACCTAACTGTCCTCTCCTACATATAATCCCTGTATTTTCGTAGCCCAATGAGCACTGTCCATGTGAAGTACCATGATTATAGTTTGAGCATGACCCTCTGATCATGGAAGGGTTGAGTCACAGGCCTGTGGCCAACAATTTCAAAAGAGGGTTCTTTTTCTGGAAAAATGGAAACCTTCATATACGTAGATAAAATTTTATCCAGAGGGGACCTTTTCCCAGCAAAAAAAAGGGGGTTCTTTTAAACCCCTCCTTTCCCAAGCCTCCCTGGCCACGGGCCCGGGTCTTGACACAGTGGTGTTCGTTCCAATTCAGGTGACCTTGACCCACTTTAAGGGTGGCCTCCGGTAGTGGCATAAAGGTAGATGATAATTTGTTGTTTTCTTTGAATTTGGCATATTCCTAAGAAATTTAGTGTCTAATCTGCCTTAGGAAATCATCCCGTCAGTTTGTTTTGATGGCCTTTCAGTTGTGTATGTTTCACAATTTGATTAGTTTGCATCATCTCAAGGAACGTTCAGACAACTGCATAGCCTTGGAACGGAATTAGATTCAAATTACATGGGCAGACAACTATATTGATTCTACATTTTTAAAAAATATTTTTTGGTAAGTAGATTTAAAAAGTATACCAACAAGAGGGTCAAAGTTATACACATAAATAAATACAAATAAAATTGAATTACAAAGATTTATGCATGAAAATCAAAATTGTTCCAAACCAGTCTAATAGGCAGCTGAATTCAAGCTAATGAATTCTTCGGTGATGTGAGATGAGGATTGATCTTTCACAACAGTTTAGTCACAACAGTCAGTTTATGCTATTGAAAAGTATGAGTGTACCTTTAAATTTGGAGTGATGTCATTGTCTGACCCAGCAACTTAACCTGCAAGGTTATAAAAATTTAATATATTGAAGGTATTTTACTTGAGATTATCCCAGCAAATTCTGTTTTCCACAGTGAAAATTATTTTCTCTTACTCATGAATCATTAGTCAACCTGTCCCTGCACTTTTCAATGCTTTATATCATTTTTAATTACGCAATTTAGTTCTAAATGACTAGCCAGCCCCTTAAATCACCATATCTTCCTGAACTGTCGAAATGGAAATATCTACATAGGGTGCTTTTGTTTGAAAAATTTTTTATCTTTTTAAATTCTTAATCGAGAGCGAAAAGTAGCTTTGCAGGATGTGTAGACACAGAAAATATGAGTTTTGGACATTTTCAAATAGGTAGCTTGGGTAGGCCTAACACTCGCCAATTTAGCCAAATGCTAAAACTGACTTAAGTCTGCTAAACAAAGACTGCTTGATCTGACTTGTTTTAGTCAAATTAAAGCCATTTGGAGAAAAAGGTGATTAAAAAGTAGTGTTTTGAATAAGGCCACACTTTTTTATTTTTATGGATGACATCCTCTGGGGACCCCAAAATCGGTGCAAGCGGGCGAAAAAAAAAAAAAAAAAACAGTCCAAAAAAAAAAAAAACTGCTTAAGAAAAGTTATATGTTCAGTACACAGCTGGAAACACTAATTTACCACAGAAACACGTATCAAACTAACAACATGTCTTTATCCATGCTCTCAAAATATTAAAGCATTGTGAATAGGGCCTACTTCATAGAAAGGTAAAAAGTCATGAATATATATGCTGCATATTTCCAAATCTATTTAAGGTTATTTCATGCATTCTGTTGGTATAGCAATCAATAAAACAAATATCAAATAAACAGCGTGTCTTTATTTGTGCTCTCAGAAAATTAAAGCATGGTAAACACTTCACAGAATTGTTTAAAAAAATGAAGCAAAGATAGGCCTATGCTTCCTACTACCAAATCTAAAAAAGGTAATTTCGGTCGATGCCATTTTGTCTACTTCGACTCACATGTAGCAGCCAACTATCGGGTAGCCTGTCCGACCTTCAGTCCACTAAATACCACGACGCTCTTGTCGACCCTTTTTTCGCTACAAAAAAAAAACCTGGTATGTGCTGCTTTGGACAGAATGTCACTGAAATTTTCCGGGCGATGATCGCTGGCTGCGGCCAGCCTTTTGTATAATTGTAAAAGGGTGATATCTCCATGTCCAATATCAATGGCAAACCAATCCAAAACGACGGCCCCCGTTCTCTTTATGACTTTAATTGTCGTGTATTTTAAAATTAATGCTAGAGAAGAATTTGAAGGCAAAGCAGCCATATTTCCACATGGTGATAATACGCATGCGCAGAAAGCTCATTTTCCGCACTCCGAACTACTCGGATGTCTCCGCAGTCGACAATGACAGTATGGAGCTTGCGGAATTAGCTGAGGATTGCCGATTGCATTTTCCGGCAAATTCAATAACGATGTTTGCGACAATCGATTTCTTTGGGGGGGGGGGGGATTTTTTTATTTTTATTTTGAGAATGGACGAATATCGGTGCGCGCACAGGATGTCATCCATAAAAATAAAAAAGTGGCCTAAGAGAAAAAAATTGCCAGGGCTACCCCAGGATACCTTATTTTCAGGGTTATTATTATGTACCTTTTATGCCCTATGTCAGGGGATACATGTAAGTCTTAAGTGACTTAAGGCAGAAAATATCTTTATTGCATGTTCAGACCATGTATCTTTCTAAGCACACAGGATCTTGACTTGTCTAATGAGGCCATATGATTAGGTGATTTGTTTCTTGATATCAGAATTCGCAACTTGATAGGTTTTGGAGAACTGATATATTTTCCAGTGGAGATCATATAAGAATTCACAGCGACAGCCAATAAGCAGTGATATTAATAATATGTCAGTATTGGATTAACTGATGATTGAAAAATATCTGGTGCTTCTGTCTCAGTTTTGAGGTCTCAGGTTTTTCAGGATAGTCATAATGACCATGGTTATTTTTCCTCCATGATTATCACCTTTTTCTTTTGGTTCTAAGAAATGGCCTAACGACCCTACGCAGTGGGCCTAATGACCCTACGCAGTGGCCGTTGTTGTACAGTATATTTCTAGATTGAAAACGAAAAAGACAGAAAGACAACAATGTGCAACAAAATTAATGAGGGAAGCTGGGGGAAAAAATTGGA